GACCATGCTACTCTCGGGTCAAGTACATACCAATAATAGTTATGGGCTTAGACATCTAATCCAACACAAAGAACGTGTGGGGATCTGATATCTACCTCAGTTGGCATCTCTTGGAAGGTATCAAGTCGTTATCTTGATCTCATTTCCTTCTAGATCTCATTTGATTAAAGATTAGGGCTTTTCTAGCATAATAAGAAGCTATTCTTGGGTATGAGCTAAGATCTGAGGTTGAAACTTCAGATCTGAACTCTCTTTGGTCTCTAAGTCCATAAAGCTATCAGCTTTGGCAAGTATGAACCCCTCCTTAAGTGTAAAACTCCATTTCAAGCTTGGATTTGTCATTTAGAGTCTTTAGAGCCTTGCATGCTTGTAAAGTTTGCAACTTTACATGTTGAACATGCCTTGGGGAATTGGATCTGCAATATGGAACCTTATCATGGCTTAAAAAGCATCTGGATGGATGAAGGACTGAAGGGACTTGACGAGTTGTATGGTCAACTCGACGAGTCTGATGAAGATTGTCGTGAACTCGGCGAGTCAATAGGGTGACTCGGCGAGTCAGTTAGGGTTTTATCGGCTTTTGGCACGCATGAACTCGGCGAGTTGCAGGGAAACTCAATGGGTTGGCCAAGGAGTTTACGACCGCAAACATTAGGAACTCGACGAGTCACTCATGTGACTCGTCGAGTTGACGAGTTATGCAAGGAACTCGACGAGTGGCTGGTTGTACTCGACGAGTTGAGGTCAACATGGACTGTTGACCTTGACCTTTGACTTGGACTTTGACCAAGGGTAGACTATTTGACTTCTGGGAGCATTCTGGGAAATTGGAAATTTTGAGTATGGTTCTATGGTGAATATAGGTGGTGGAGTTTGTGACAGTGATCCGAGAGTGGAGCTTATCACTTCAGCGCGTCAGTTGCGAGGTGAGTTATCCTCACTGTACTCAAGGGTCTAAGGCACCAAGGCCGGCCCTTTGTTTTGTTATTGGGATTATTACTGTTGTGACATGTTAGTTCGGTATCCTAGTAGATAGGATGGTTATATACTAGTATGATCTGTTAGATCGGTATCATGGTAGATCGGATGTGGTTATGCTTAGTGACCTATAGTTGGTCTGACTGTCTGCATGCTAGTATTTATGGCAGTTAGGTGGATCTATAGGACTACCTGTAGTATTATGTGATTATTTGTATGTGCATTAGTTGTGTTATATGTCGACATATTTTGTGGGATGGGTTGAGGTGAAACTGCTCCGTGCGGTAACCAACAAACCCAGGAGCATTCCAGATACGAGCTGAAGGAGACTCGTACTATGGGCTCGATGGTAATCCAGATGTAAGCTGTGGGCCCGAAAGGCAATCCAGACTCACACTGTGGGCCAGGGGTAATCCAGTCTGTAAAGCTGTAGACCCAGTACATGTTGTTAGTTGTATATGTGTTATGTGAAGTGTATCGGTATGTTGGCATTCCAACCCAATGGTTGAGGGCCTGGGGTATTCCATCCTGATGGATGATTGGACCCATAGCATGCTGTTTGTTATTGTATGTGTATTATGGTGTGTATGGGTATTTTGGGGGTAACTCACTAAGCTTTCGAACTTACAGTTTCAGTTTATTGTTTCAGGTTCAGCGGATGACCGCGGAAAGGCAAAGACGTGACCGTACACTTCCTCGATTGATGATTATGATTTCTGGGAACTCTCATGTTTAAACTATTTTGGAAACAAATTGTAATAATAGAATGGTTTTAAATGATTTAAAAAGTTTTAAATTGGCTCGGATTTTATGGATGTTACACATTTAGGTAAGTTTTGTTATTTTGGGCTTTTTATCAGGTTGTAAAGAGAAAGAACAGTAGGTGAACGATGGTGATGATGGTGGGTCGGAGATGAAGAATACAGAAGGTGGGTCATAGATGGTGCTGATAGGGGCTACCGATGTTTTATGGTGAAGATGGTGTTGTTGGGAAAAGGGTGGTGGTGGTGACAAAGTGTGGTGGTGATGATGTGTAAATATGAGGGCTTTTATGGCAATTGTGACTAGTTAAGAGGGTGCAAAACCTGATAAAAAAAAGTTAAAATGTTTTTTTGACAAATATGAGACATTAATGAACATAAAAAAAGACTTTTGTTGATTTGTCGTAAGAAGTGCGTTTCCAGGTTACATAACATGTATAATGAAGCTCTATTTAGGAATAACAATCTCTTATAAGTTTTTATTTTCTGAACTGTCGTTCGATTGTAAAAAGATCTTCCGTAAGTTGTAGTTTTATGATAAATGTTTTACACCCAAAACCTAAAACAATAAAATAACATTTAACCTAGAAATACACTTCTTGCAACAAATCAACAAAATCCTCGTAAGTTATATAAGATATAAGTGATATCTTTATGATTGTAGTAATAATATTTATTAAAGAAAATCACAAAAAATTCTAAAAATATATATAAATTATTATTATTGTGT